TACAACTTTAGTACGCGGAGCAATCTGTAGAGCTGGAAGCTGAGAACTGGCGACTTTCAAGTACAACTTTACGCGGAGCATCTGGGGAGCTGGAAGATGAGAACTGACTGGCGACTTTCTAGTGCAACTTTAGCACGCGGAACAACCTGTGGAGCTGGAAGCTGAGAACTGGCCACTTTGTAGTACAAGTGTAGTACGCGGAGGAGTCATCTCTCGCTGCTGAGTCAGCTCTCGCTGCTGTGAGTCATCTCTCGCGACTGAGTCATCTCTCGCTGCTCAATTATCTCTCGCTGCTGAGTCAGCTCTCGCTATAGCCATCTCTCGCTTCTGAGTCATCTCTCGCGGCGTGCAGGTTTGGCACAGTTCATACTGATAGTATTTGGTTGCATGTATGCAGGACAGGACACTCAACTGCTGGTCAATACACCACTCATCATACACCACTCGTCATACACCACTCATCATACACCACTCGTCATACACCCCTCTTGTCGTGGCAAAGATACAACCCAGTACGCTGTTGTGAGCTGCTGATCCTGCAGGGGGCACACACACCTTACACACGTGGAATCCCGTGGGTCAAAAGTCCGGAGCGCGTGCGTTTGACTGGAGGACGCGCATGTTGGAGAGAACGTGGACACTCCTATAGGTCAATTTGTTCTTATAGGAAACTTCCGCCGCCGGCTTGCCCGGGAACTACTTGTAGTACCACCCCAGGGCACCATCTAACGTAGGGGTCCTTTTTAATGACAATACCGTACCACAAAATTGTCTGCGGAATCTAAATTCAGAAAACGCAACAACATCAGAGATCACAAACTTGATCAAATTTGATGCAACATCTGGCCAGAGATTAGCGTTTTGACACGTTGCCTCTACAATTCCTTTGCTTCATTCATTTGTGTTGATTGTTCGGCCACTTATTTTAGATGTTGGGGTTCCCTCAAGAGTGTGTTCTTGGGCCTTGAGGCATAATCATTATTGTAAAATATTGTAAAGTATTTTTTCGAGATACTATGATAAGTTCCGGAGACAATGGCATTTTTTTGGAGGGTATCCTCAACTTTTGTTTGGGTTGTTAGCCTGACTTGGCATTGGTATCGACTCTGCAGCTTGCAAACTGACCTTTGTTGTGCATTTCCTTGGTCTTGATGAGGTGCGTGGCCCTGATTTTGAGGAGCATATCGCAAATTATGGTTGAAGAGAACTTTTGGACTCTGCAACATCATGGCACCAACCTTCTTTTACAATGCAGACCAATATATTTATACAGTATATATATATACACATGTATTTGTTGCGCTCCGTGGCCCCCTGTGCAGGTCGCGACCCCAACGAGCCTATTTGCATGACCAAAGTCCCTCATGGTGCCTTGAGCCCGTTCGAAGCAGACTCGGAAGTATGGAAAGGCAGAGCTGAACAATCAATAAGCTACATTTGGCCTATCTACATGCCGGGAAGAGGGGTTGAATCAGTTGATCTTGCTTCTTTTTGATCGGAATAGGCTTCTTTCAACCAGTCATATGAGTCATATGCTGCAATCACAGCCATAGCAGTTATGCCATTGGCATCTTCAGTCCGGATATACTGGACACTCTTGGAACACTATTCTCCGCTTCTCTGCCTTGTTGCCGCGGCACCTCAGGTACTGACGTGGACTACGGTGCTTTGACAAAGGCAAAGATTACTGCCTTCCAAGAACTTGGAGGCATGGCTGTCGTATCCACCACACAGACACCTGTTGAACACATTGAAATGATGTTTTGGTTGAATAAAATGAAATATGTGTTTGTAGTATGATGATATAGGTTGGACACGTTTGGTCGGCTTTCTGAGTTTAACACCTGCAGGACTTGTAGGAAAGTGTTGAGTCCGTAGGAAAGGGTGACACGAGCTCTCCACACATGCTCCACTCTCAAAAAAGCAATGACAAATTGTTGCCACAATACCTTGCTTTGGCCAGGTGACTTGCGACTTCACACGGAGGTGACAGATGTCAAGAAGGCCTAAAGAATTGCTCACCAGGAAAAGTGACGGGAAAACTAGCCGTGCTGCCTCGGAGACTCTATATACAATCTTGCAGTGGTATTGTAGGATATATATATATATACAACAAACAAATTGCGAGTCATACAAAAACTAAAGAACTGACCTGTCCTCGATTTGCATCCTTGGGACTGCACATCATGTCAGAGCTTCACACATTCATCCATATGACACCCCAACTACCCAACGGCTCTGTACTATCCAATAATATGAATCAAACAAGTCTAGCCTAGCTTCTCCGAGAGTAAGCTCGGACTTGCAGTCCCACAATGGAAGTCCTGTCCTAAGGGTTGAGAGTCCAAAACTAAATATAAAGATTGAATGGCACGCGAACTGTGTCGCCATACGCCAGAACAAAGACGGGAAGTGGGTCATCACCACCAAAGTCAATGGTGCGGGTTCAGGCAGGCATTGTCAGGGTCGAAGTATGGATGGGCCGGAGGGTCGATCACTGGCCTTTGAAGGCGAGTCTTTGTAGAAAAAGAGTGCAAAAAGGAGAGCAAAATGCCCAGAAAAGAAAGATATGAAACACGGATTTTGCAATTAATATCAATTAATCACTCGTTTCTCTGGCGCTTTGGACAGGAAATGACAGGAATTGACATTGGGCAACTTGTGGCACAATGCAGTATGGGCAACGTAGGACTTCGCAAGCACAGGTTGGGCCTACAACAAGGCAAAGTTTGTGTTTGTCGGTGCTGGAGGCAAGTTCCTACGAATCGTGTGCTGTCACTGCCTGACTGCACCATTGCACATATTTTGTGTCAAACCATCTCAGTACAATTTACAAGTCATGGCAATTCATGGCTCAGCTCATGTACTTGGCACGTGATGACACGTTTTTCTTGTGCATTTTTGCAATGAGAATATTCAATTTTGCGCACGTTTCACTTCATTCGTTGTCGCACAGGAGTTTACATGGTGTTCGTTGTCCCATTTTCATCGAAGTCAGGTTGGGCCTTGCTGATGCTGCAGAAGGCTGGAATTCCAGAGGTCAACGGCCGCTTGGCAATGTCATTGCAACAGGATGTGCTTGCATTTAATTTCTTGCAATTGGAAGAGATCCTGAAACCGCTATGGCTATGGCTATGGTTCATTGCAACGTGCACAATTGAGGTTATATGGCCTTGCCTGTGACGGGCGACTGGGCGATTTGCCAGAACCCTGAGGCATGCTGACCTCCTCAACGATTCAAATGAAACTGCAAGTTTCTTGTTCTGAAGAAACTACTGACTGACTGGGAAGAATTGATATGCGTTGACACCATCAGACAACAGAAAGTCATGCTTCACTGCCAAAATGCCCGCACTAACTTGCTCTTGGAAGGTGGTGCATCAGCATAGGGTGAAGGTCTACGCCCCTGGTGCACCTGGAGCTCCTCCTATGTCTATGCCGCATTTGGACTACCGCACTATTGGTGGCAAGGAGGGGTCAAGGGTCGGTCGAAATTGTCCCGAAGCACTTGCATGAAGATTGCAATGGTTTCTTTGGCTATCGATCCTCCTTGTCTCATTCGTTATCCTTTTGTAGCAATTGTATAGCCCTTTGTTCCGGTCTCTTTCCTTCTTATCTCACTTTCTCTTTTCTCAGCTCATGGAATCATGGCTCCAGCATTTTCATCACATGCCAAGTTGCCAAGGAGGTGTTGCTCTTTGGGCCATTCGGCTCGATGACCATGAAGTTCTTGAGGCAGGAGGAAGCTTACAAAGTTAACGTGAGACAGAAGAGATCACTTGAAGGAGCTTGAAAACTCCAGCGAACAGTTTCTTTCCTACAGTTTCAACAGGTTTCAAACCTTCTATGTTTAACAAGGCCTTGGGAGCCTTAGGTCTTGGTCTTGAGTTACCTACCCGTTCTACGAAGAGTTGATTATTTCTTCCATGTCAAAAGGTCAGCATGGTCAGCGGGGTGCATTTCTGGAGCCACACAGGTACGGTTCTGTGACTGATGCCTTTAGGGCACTCAAGCCTCACAACCTCATCCCAACTGCTGGAGCATTGCCGCTTGGCATGATGGTTGTGGCCCTCAATATTTGGCACATTTTGACATGTCACAAAATGCCACGATTGCTATTTACTGTATTCACTTCAGAGCTTGCTCCTTGAAGTTTCCACCCCAGGTTCTTTAACACGAGTTCAATTGAGGGATTTGCTGGATCAGCAAAGCTGAAATGTGCTGAATTTGAAGCTGTTGGGCGCCATTTGAGAAACAGAGATGGCAGATCGTTTTGATACGCAACACTGCAACACGTTGCTTGATCGAGCAGGGCAGGGCATGTGTTTGAGTTATGTTGTGTATGGGTCAAAGCTATAGCAGGCGACAGTGCTAGGTAACTTGGACAGTTCTGTTTGTCTTTGGGATGTTCGTCGCTGTATAGGGGCCCCAGTACCCGGCACAATGTCCTTGAATTTGTTGATGGGTCTCGTGGGATTGGTGCGCAAGCAGGGTTTTGACCTACAGCCTGCAGCCATAACAGCAACACAACTCACCCTTTGGCACCTTAAAAGTGGTGAAACCAACTTGACACACAGAGTCAACCTTTCTTGAGGTCAAGAAATCTCAGCTTGGCCGTGATGCTCATGAAGGCCTTGAACAGCCTTGCAACATTCAGCCCCTTGATTGCTTGCCCCCATCTTACGACCTCACAAAGAAAGATCCAAACACAGAAGTACACGGTATATATATAACTATATATATACACATACATATATACATATTGTTCTGAGGTAGGTCTAGTCAATTTGAAGTGCAAAGGGGTTTTGATGAAGAGCAGGATGTGTTCAAGAGCGCCATGGGAAAGCTCCATGACATCAGGCTGGGAAATCCTTGTACACGTAACCTGGCGAGCCGAAAACGTGATGCCTCTCGAGGGTCCTTCAAAAGCTTGCTCACTCCACAGAACTTTTTGGTTTTGTTTTCGCAGCGGACTTTGTCGGTTTGCTCGTTGCAGTCGTCTTCCCAATGAAACACACAGGAATCGCGTAAGAGAAGGCCCAACTTGGGATTCCCACCGAAAAGGCATTAGGAGCTTTTGCAGGTACAGTAGATGAGTGTGGAGGGTATCAACGGCCATGATCGTCACTTGCATGGCTTGCTTGATTTTCGGTGGCAGGCACTACTATCCAGAGGCTGACCCAGATGATTGGGTGTTCATCCCTGCAGGTCGGGAATCTCTGAGCGCCCACTTCTTTGGGAGTGCTTCCATGTGCTTTCAATCAAAGCAAAGAGGGATGTTTGGTTTGAATGTCTAGGAGGCTGTGATCATGCCTGGTTGCAGAGATGCACTTGTTACATGTTCTTGTTGTCACACTTAGATATAGGCTCCCAAGAGCAGAATCAGTTGTGAATGCCCAGTGCATTAACTCTTTAAGTGATTACATTAGACCTTGACTCGCACAACAGCAAGGCGATGGGTCATCACGCATTAGCACGTTACAGGAAAAGGAGGGTGAACAGCGTGTCAACGTCACAAAAACAGTGCAGGTACGTCTCCAAGGCGTCCCTTCTGGACCAATCTATCACTGTCTTCGTTGGGCAGTAAGTGATAGTGGTCCACTGCCCCCCTGCTGGTATTGTACAGTGTACAGGACGTTAAACGAGAGTTGAAATAGTAGTGTGTACAAACACACACACACACACAAGGAGCCGTTGACGGCGCACAGTGGGCAAAAAACCTGCTCTACAACCTAACAAGCCTCTAGACTCCAGACACGAACAAAAAACACTTAGAACTTAGGAAAAGAAAGGGAAAGAGGAAGGAAAGTAGCTCCAAAAAATCTGTACACCCGCGGCTCGCACTTGACCAAAAACTTGATTACCAACCTAAAAAGCGTCTAGAAGAGAGAAAGACCTAGAAAGAGAAACAAAAGACAGGAGAGAACGAAAGAGGAGGGGGGGGCGTTTGTTTGTTGTGGGTGGTGTGTGGGGTGGTGGGTCGACTAAACGAGCCTGAAAAGCAACCTAACAAGCCTCAAGAAAAAGACCTAGGCGAAAGAAAGCCAGGGAGAGAAAGGGTGTGTGGGGGTTGTGTTGAGAGGCACTCGGCCATAAAACCCAATCCGGCGCACGCTTGACTGAAAAGGCCTCATTTAGGACCTAGCAAGCCTCTAGCTACGAACAAAAAGACCTAGAAAGAAGAGGGACCGAGTTGGATGATTAAAAATTGAAAGTCCTAGATACTTGCTACAGCATGAAATGCCATTCTGATTGAGCAATCAGTGAGCCTTGCGGCATTGAATCAGCGATCTCGAGCAAAATGAAAATCCGGAAGGATCGAGCAGGACGGAAAATTCAGGGGTGATCTCCCTTGAGGGCTTGTGCTAAAAGCGCCCGAAAAAATAGGGTTCACACAGTGCACCGCAGTGGGACGGCACTGCAGGTCACACTTAGATATAGGCTCCCAAGAGCAGAATCAGTTGTGAATGCCCAGTGCATTAACTCTTTAAGTGATTAGACCTTGACTCGCACAACAGCAAGGCGATGGGTCACCGCGCATTAGCCCTTTACAGGAAAAGAAGGGTGAACAGCTTGTCAACGTCACAAAAACCGTGCAGGTACGTCCGGAAGGTGTCCCTTCTGGATGTCACGACCAACCTATCACTGTGTTCGTTGGGCAGTGCTTGATAGTGGTCACCTGCCCCCTGCTGGTACTGCGCAGGACGTTAAACGAGAGTTACAATAGTAGTGAGTAGTGCGTGGTGCCGCTAGAGACGGGGTGACACACACGCACACACACACACACACACGCACACACGCGTACCTGTTCACGCGCCCAAATGTATATAGATCCAGAGCGCTTCCTGTGTAATTATGGGCAGGGAACGGGAACGATTCTCAACCAGCAATCGCAATAGACAGAAAAACTAAGACCAGCAATCGCCCCCACCATACTAGCAATGGCCTCCAACCGCATAGCAATGGCCTCCACCCTACTAGCGATGGTCTCCACCCTACTAGCGATGGCCTCCAACCTAATAGCAGTGGCCTCCAACCTACTTGCGATGGCCTCCAACCTAAAAGCAATGCCCTAACCTGCTTGCGATGGCCTCGCCTCCTACCTACTTGCGATGGCCTCCGACCCAATAGCGATGGCCTACAACCTAAAATCCATGGCCTCCACCTCCACCCTACTAGCGATGGCCTCCAACCTACTCGCGATGGCTTCCAACCTACGAGTAATCGCCTCCAACCTACTTGCAATGGTCTCCAACCTAATAGCAATGGCCTCCAAGCTAATAGCAATGGCCTCCAACCTCCAACCTACTTGCGATGGCTTCCAACCTAGAAGCAATGGCTTCCAACCTATTTGCGACAGCCTCGAACCTAAAAGCGATGGCCTCCAAGCTACTAGCAATGGCCTTTGAACCCAAGTCAACGGCCTCCAACCTAGTTGCGATGGCATCCAGCCTAATGTAAAGTCAGGATTAAACCCACAAAGCCGCCGGAAATTGCCCAAATTAAAAGTAGTATTGGTTGTTGATTTCCACCCCTATGGTCTAGCTTTCCACCAGAAATCACCACCAGTTAATCCGAGCCCACAACCAGGTCAATTTTTCGTATTACTACTACTCCTCCTCCTTCTACTCTTTCTACTGCTACTACTACTACTACTACTACTACTACTATGACTATGACTACGACTACGACTACCACTACGACGACGACGACGACTACTACTACTACTACTCCTGCTACTACTTTTATTTACTACTAGTACCACCACCACCACTACTGCTCCTCCTACTACTACTACGACGACGACGACCACTACGACGACTACCACTACCTGCTACCTACTACCTACTACCTCCTACCTCCTACCTACTACCTACTACCTACTACCGACGACGACTGCGACTACGATTGCTCCCTGAGCAGATTATTCAGGGGGAGTAGACCTCATGAATGGAATCTCAGTCCTGCTAGACCTTCTAGACCTTCCACGGGGGGGGGTTATTAATCCAGTCTTCGCATTAATAGCGATGGCCTCCAACCTAACAGCGATGGCCTGCACCCTACTAGCGATGGCTTCCAACCTGATAGCAATGGATGGCAACCTGATAGCAATGGCCCGCACCCTAGCAGCACCAGATAGCGATGGCCTCCACCCTAACAGCCACGGCCGCGGCCTCCAACCTAATAGTGATCGCCTCCAACCTAATACCGATGGCCTCAAAACCATCTTTCAGTGGTATAGTTGCAAGCAAGGTATCGGACGATTGACATTCCGTGGCTGGCTTGCAGCTGCCCAATGCATTGTGCCCAGGTGTTCGTGCTCAGATTATCAAGAAGGCCAGATGCTGATAAAATTTTGTTACTTCACTTCCATGCGTTGCCTTTAAAGCCTTTGTCGATGCAAACACAAGGGTTGCAGGACTGCTTTGTAGGACTGCTTGGCTTCTGCTTTTAGCATGGCCAGGACCCAAAGACTGGCAAGGGCATGCTGCAATTCGGAACTGAGGCGCTTTGTGTACACTCAAAAACCACTTGAGACTCAAAATGGCATGAGACCTGTTGCTCATGTGATAGTATTTTTTACCTCGTGACACAAATTACAGATCCACTCACAATATTATCAGACAGCACCTACAAAGGGCGGCTAATCATATCGACATATTGGAACCAAACATATATCACATTGACAACAGGTGATAGACATCCTTGCACCTTGATGTCGGTTTATTGGTAAACGTGTCCAGATTATGTAGAGTTGTGATGTTCGATTTAGGCGAAGCATACCCCGAAGATCCCCGAAGCATACCTTCTGCAAATGCTACTATATACGTTACTCTTCGCACTGTGCGAAGCATACCCCGAAGCATACCTCCGACGCATAAACATCTCAGCACGGGAACGGCAAGAAATATAAAAATACACTCCCATGTACCTTATCATTACCTTTTATCATGCTGCTCCCCTGATGAGGTTTCTTTGTACCCTTGCCACACAGGTGGTGACTGGTGAAAATGGCACAATTTGTGGCCTGCTGGGCGCATCTCCCGGCGCCTCCACTTGCGTCTCGATTGGCCCGGTCCTCGACTGCCTAGAAGTGATGGCCTCCAACATAAGGTCATGCTCTTGACTTGCCACATATGTGTTTCCATGATTTTCCATGTGCTAAAGTACGTAGACAAGATTCGCGATGTAAGTCAGTGGTGACCTTGTTTATCAGTGGCTTGGTGCAAAAGATTGAGTTGGGTTGTAAGCTATCGGCTATAGGTGTACGTACCTGAGGTCAAGCTATGAGATTTCCCAAGACAGTACGCATCCTATGCTCCAGTGTGAAGATGCTTTAGGAAATTTCCATGAGCCCCCCCTATCCTCGCTGTTGTCTAAGCGAAAAGGTATGAATGAAAAGGGGTTTGTAATATTTGTCCAACTTAAGCAACAGAGGCAAAGCAGACATATTCGCTGGAAACCTTCCGCCCTTGCTGCCAGCCTTGGCTGTGATTGAGAAGTGCTTCGGAAATTCCCCGGAGTTCAAGAAGTGGAGTCCCAAGCTTAAGGACGGTGTGGTAATTTGACTGAACAACTTCCTTCAGCACAGATAGCTTTCTTCTCGATTCAGACGGGTAGGGCATTCCGGAGCAAGACCAAAAGTAGCAGCGGGATGCAGGCAATTTTTTTCCTATACTCTAGCACTTTAACAAGCCTTGCTGTTCCCACTGCCAGAGGAGGGCCAAGACCCAAGACATTTGGAGAACTGATGAGACGGTCATGCGAACAAACACGACCCAAATGAACAGTTTGTGCTCATTTTTTGTAGTGCTTTCCTGCTACACACACAAGAGTTGATGTCCCGGGTCGAAGGTAATCGAAGTCTAGCGCAGATCTTTGGGGATTTTTTTGCATGCAGCAATTTGCACACCCCTGCAATGCAGAGGAGATGATTCCTAGCTGGTCTCCTGATGTTGCAGCAGGAGACATGAAGAAGGCCCGGTGAGAACTGCCAGGCTTAAATACTGTTGCCTTTGTTTGTGAGTTGAACAAGCAATGAATCAAAGCTCAAGGAAGCGGCAATAGCAACAGTCCAAGCCTGTAACGCTTTGCTCGGGGAATGAGAGCGTGCAACAGAAGATTCATGCACATCATTGGTTGTTGCCTCATTCGTGACACCTTAGAAGTTGTCAGGTCACGCCAGACATTGTCCCTTGCTTGGAGAATCAACGGCACGGGTCAGCTGTTTTGCTTTCGCTTCTATTATACAGTATACACATATCAAAATCGTTTGCTTGATGTTGTGTTCCGGGCAAATACCATTTCTTGGCTTCCGAAAGGAGTCGGGTCCCATTGATTTGGGATCTCAAAAGACTGACAACTGTTTTTTTGTTAAGCACATGTAAAACACAAACATCACGCGGTCTCGCTCTGGTTCCAGAAGAACAAGAAGAAGAGGAAGAAGGAGAAGAAGAACAACAGCAGCAGCAGCAGCAACAGCAACATCAACTACTACGACTACTACTACTACGACCTCCACTCCTCCTACTACTACTACTAATACTACTACCTACTACCTACCTATCAATTATCAACTATAAGCTATCAACTGCTAGCTACTACTTGTTCTATCTTGTTCTATGTCTTTTTCTTCGAGTGCAGAGAGGTCTCTAGAGAACGGAATGTGACTGGGCTGTGCCAGGTCATGGATACAACAACAGCAAACGCAACACCAACAACACAGTCTAGATATAGATAATATAACATACATATACAGGAATATATAGTTAATGGAATGTTTCCCCGCGCTACTTGTACCCCAGTATCCTTGTGCCACCAAATCACTTTTGGCTCGTTGCAAGACCAAGACGGGCTTGGCGGGCAACGCAAGGAATGCTTTCAAGTATATCACAATAGTATAGAAATCCCATTGGGCTAGTATGGTCTACTGGCTATGACACATCCCTGCATCGGACCTGGGTTCAACCCCCGAGTGCAACACTAGGCAGACAGGCGGGCCACCACCAGCCCTGCAGTTAAGGGGATGAGCTAGGGTGTGGAGTGTGGACCTAAACACACAACAACATATTATACAGTATATACCCCAATGTTTGAGCAGGCCTGGGATTGGAGTTCTGTTCTTTGTTGGCTGTATGTCGTTCCCAGGTTGTTGTCTTGGTTTTTCCGCCTTTTGTTTCTGCGTAGCTTTGTCCGTTTGTTTGTCACCTGCTGCCTGCCTATTGCTGCTTGGCTTCTCGGGTTTTTGTTGCCTTTTGTTGCAGTCCTTCCCCCCCTGCTTCGCATTCCTCCTTTTGCTTTCAGCTTTAGCCTGCCTATTGTTTTGTCTTCTTGTTTTGTCAGTTTTCAGCAGTTCTTTGCCCTACTTTGCTTCTTTCCTTTTCTCAGGTGCGCTGCTTGATTCCCTTGTTTCCTTTGTCTTCTTGTTTTCCCCTTTCTTTCCGTGGCCAGCTTCTTTGACACATTTGCGACTGGATCGCATGCTGCCCTTCTCTTTTGCGTTGTGGGGCTATTGAAAGTTTGTTGCTGCAAAGGCACTGAGTTGGTGAGGCTGCTGGAACATTTCAAGACATGAAGAGTACCCAATGCCACAAACGACTGGAAGGCGGGTGCGGGGGCAGCGTGCACCTTGCAGATTCCACCCCCGCATCAGCTTCAATAAACAGACGAAGACCACAGTGAAATGTTTGTTCGAGAGAGACATGTTGAACTGGTGTTGCCGGTTGGAAGGTTTGAAACCAAAAACGGTTGAAGGAAGACAGCGCCTAAAACAAGGCATACACTGGCCAGAAGAAAGTTGCGCTTCTTGATGTTGAAACTCATGACAACCCTATCCCCCTAGAATCCTACACCATGAGACAAGGGAAGGTGTGGGCGGTCATTTGTCACCCCGGAAAGCCTTATTTATTATAAACTTAAATGGGTGTGATAATTGACCGTCCCACACCTGCCACGAAAATTAGACTTGTTAATTCGATCCGCCGCTGACCTCAGAGTGTTTTGTAAGAAGGCTAACAAGCGTAAACTTTTGTCTGCCTGAAGTATTGCAACCATGGGACACACACACACATATATATATATATTTCACCTTTTGAGAAAGGTCATATGTTGTAACATCTCACCCAGGACATCTCAGGACAGTTAAAACTTGCCACGCATAAATCCAAAGGGACGGTCACGGACGGTCGCGAAATTAATTTTCAATAATTTTCAGCAATTTGAATGACGCCCCTCCGTTGTGACAACGAGACGGTCCAGCTAAGCATGTTCCAGCTAATAATAACAGCAGAAACCCCATTTCCTTTGCGTGACGTTTCGAGTTGTCTTGTGCAGTTGAGGGCATGTGAACCAACCTGAAGCCCTTTCTTGTCAAAGGAAAACAGGAACTCAGCTTTTTGAGAGTTTGGTGGGTTATGAGCCCAACCTTACCTACCTCTGCGTGCTAGAGCCATGTCAGAGCATACCTCCGAGAGAACACCTGAGTCGAATGGACCAAGGGCGATTGAAGACATACAACCAGAGCATGGAGCTTTGGTTCGACCTAGTGGACCGCCTACGACTTTGGGACCTCAAGCTCAGGTGAACCCCTTTTGGAGTGAGACACAAAGAGATGAAGCGATCTTGAGAGCCTGCCGACCTTCGCACCTGTGTAGGGAGATTCCAGAGGTGGCGCCACCATCAGTGACCGCAGTCAGTCCTCCGCGAGAAGCGCCAGATGCTGTAGGGATGATGGTTCATGGCTTACTTCAAGAAAATGCGAGGCTGTGGTCGGAGAGAGAAGTTGCTGGTCCGGGAGGATGGGGTCAACATGTGATGCCATTTGGTAGCCAGCAGTCGATGCTCGGTGGGGTGCTGGGTGAACCTCAAGGAAGAGATGTGTTGGGGGCTTTGATGGACATCATGAAACCATCGTGGGGCTCCTCGTTTTCTCAAAGTGACAAAGGCTTGTTGGGGGCTCTGTCAATGCCGGTGGACCTTGGTGGGGGCTGGATGTCGTCGCGGCCGGAGCAGGGTTTTTTCGGTGGTTCGACTCAAGCGCATCGTGGGAACTTGCAAGTTCAACTTTGTTTCAACTGGAGTTTTTTCCAGGCCTATGCAACCACATGGAGGTCCTGATTGGGGTCGTGGTTCAATGAGTCAGGGGGCTTTTAGCACTCGTCAAGATGGTTTGGGACAAGGTGGAGGTAGTTCCACTGGACGAGGAAGCCAGGGTCAGAGTGCGGTAGAGCCTTCGATTCATGAACCTCCACGAGATGCTAACCAACCTTGGGGTGATCTTTCTGGTGTTCCAGCAGTGCAATCTGGTGGGAGTGAAAATGGAGGTCCAGTTCAGGGGGGTGCTGGTGGTCTTCCTGGGGATCCTTGTGGACAAGGAGAAGGGGTCAGCCGCTGGGTTCAGAAGGTGGTCACCCTCGCGGTGGTCTGCCGCTTGGAGGAGGGAATCCAGTGGACTTCCAACTGGGCCTGGTGGTCATCAGGGAGATGGAGGTCCTGGTGGTTACCCTGGTGATGGTGGCCATGAGGGGTTTTCCAAATGGAGGATTTCCTGGCGGATTTCCGGGTGGGGGAGGATTTCCGGGCGGCGGAAGTTTTCCGGGCGGCGGAGGATTTCCTGGTACCTGGAGGAGGCTTTCCGGGAGCACCGTTGGGATGTTTGGTCCAGGTCCTGGTGGAAATGTTCCTGCATGGCTTGGTGGTTTGGTGGCGCAACAAGAATCTGTTCGTGCCGTGGAGTTGCCGCCGCTGCCAGAGTTGTCAGAGTCCGAAGTGGGACCGCTTTTGGCAGGAGATTGGATGACCACGATCGGTCCTTTCCTCAGAGATATGAGGTGCTGAGGGTGGCTGGCGCCCTATACCGGGTTTGGTTGGGGTTGGAGCCGATGGAGAGGTTGAGATTGAATCCAGTATCACCTCAGGCATTTCAGGCACCGCCATGGCCACCGCCTTTGAGAGCTCGAGCGGGACCTCAACGTTTTGCTTCGGAGAACTTGTCGGATTCCCTTCGTGAGCTGGCTTGGAATGATGTGCTTTGAATGAGGCAATTGTGGCTCTATGCACTGGCAGCCAAGGCGAGACAAAGGGACGTTCTGTTCTTGAAGGAGAATTCCAGGGACCCCGAAGAGTACA